AAAGAGAAGAGATACCATTTTGGGGGTGATTTAAACTAAGTTTCTGGCACGGAGAGTAAATTTAAGTGGAGTATGCTGACGGCCTGCGTTAAACTATACTTAAATTGTGATTAAGTTATGCAACTGGTTTTCGATTTCAGGCTAGTTCTTGCAGCTGTGACAGTAGGTGCGTAGAGTAGGACTGGGAACGAGTTTTTACCTTGGTAGGATTACCGCAAGAAACGTCGTAGATTGAATCGCTGGGGATGATGTCTGAAGCAATTCCTTGAGGTATTATCGGCCGCAATTTGTTCAATGGACGTCTGGCGACGGTCCGCGCCAAACTGGTTGTGTACTGATTGCCGGGACGTTGAGTATCACTACATGGGATTATCGCTTATTACGCTCATTAATTTCAGAGATAACACTAGTAGGATGATCAGGGAAGTTCTTAAGAGATGCTCAGAGTACTTTTTTAGGTCAGTACGGATACCTGTGATACTCTGTTCAATATTCTTCATTTGTTTTGTAAAAGTAGATAAGTATTTGGCAAGAATTTTCTCGAGATCATTCTTGTTGATGGACATTGCGTGTGCATTATTGTCCTCATTAAACTCAGCGTCACCTTCCATAATGCCAACTTCAAAGACACAGTCAGCACATTTCCAGCTAGTTGAGCCTTTTCTCCGGAACTCAGCTAGGTAAACATTAACCCGGAGGCACTTAACTTACTACACATTTTGTGATACCAATTTTTACAGTCACAGCAACCGATACAACTAGAATTCGCTCTAATTAGTTTAGTACAACTTTCACACATGTGTTTACTTTAATCAAATAATACCTATAAAATAATTCAAGATTAACATTTGTTTAGATATGTGATCCACCCGCATTTAATACACCGAACCGCCGGCACTGCATTTGTCGTGTCTACGCTGGACATGGCGTTACGCTGTCAATGCTAACAAAAAAATTTTAAATTTAATCATAAGTGTAATTTTCGAAATTTAGCTAATTAATAAAAGATAGGAAAAGGTGTTGCTATATCGGTTTCTCCCGGAAGTTGCCTTCTAATTGAAATATTCCTTCTGAAAACTTATAGTGTAAAGAAGACAATTACGATTACGCGATTTGATACCATAACACTTTGGAATGCGTTCAAAATATATTGGGATATTTGAAATTTCTCGATATTTGTACAATAAAATTTAAAAATTGTGTTTGTGTATATGAGAGTTTGTTCTTCCGTGTAGGTGATATCTGGTAAAATATAATATTATACTAAGTACATTCATTGCAATATAGAGTTGTGTTTAAGTTGTGGTACTGCTGGTTCCACGGTCGGATATTAGATTATTTTACTGGGTGATGAATGGTGAATGCGCATACCGCTATTTAATTATTTTACAGGGTCACCTTTTATATGTGATGACTGATGGATGCTCATACCGATATTTAATTGTTTTTCGCGTCCACCACCACCACCATTTATATTTGGGGACTTACATTACCATATATATTTATATATTTCATGTTCAGTATGAAAGTTCTTTCGTGATAGGTTTTTATTTTGCTACCGTCGGTAGCTTGGAGTAGAAACAGCGTGGGTGCCTTCTTGTTAATTTGTGATATAAACGGTTTGCGTTGTTGTTATTATGTTTTACGGAGATATCCGCACAAGTATCGACGAGGTATATAGATCGGATCGGAGGACTAGAGTTTCGCAACAGATATTTCAGGAGCCGAGAATGACTTCCGTAGTCTGATTGATTGGTTTGCATTGTTCAAGGGGGTCACCATTTATATGTGGGGACTTACATTACCACATATCTTTATTTATTTAATTTTTGTTTTAAAACTTTCTTTTTATTAAAAGGAACTTAACTGAAAATTTAAAGTTTGTATGACTACGTAGCGTAGCGCTCCATGGCGTTTGTATCGTTTGACTTTTTAACTATCAGTGAGTTGTAGTAATAGTAGAAGTTCTTACAAAAATTCAGCTTGGGATAATTGCAAGAATTTAACAGTTGTAAAGGTTGGGGTATTCCCTCGATTGCTGATGTGAAGAGAAGGAATAATGGCATATGACATTGTGTTGCCAGATGTGTTGGGTCCCCACAAAGGGAACAACTCAATGCATGCGCATGTGCGTATATATATATATATTTTTTTTTTGTCGGAGGGGGAATCTTACATAGATACTGATCTTTATTAGTATGCAGTATGCACGATTCGTACTGCCCGCTAAGGGGTACACCATTTTCGGGACCACGCCTAGTCAGGGTTATCGTCCCAAGTTGGACTTGCGGCGCAGTACGCCTACTTACTAAACCCTAAACTCCGTCACCTGCAGCTTTGGTGAAAGACCCTGCGGTACCGCCGTTAGGCATTTCATCGCAGGGTCAGCTTAGCCTTTCGGCTCACGTCATTTGTTCGCTATTCGCGGCTCAAGCTTCACTGCTTTTCTGTCTTTCGGCTCTTCTCAGCTCTTGGATTATCAGAGCTGTCGCCTTTCCATAATGCTCCATACTTGTCTCGATTCCAACATATAAGGCACTATATTATCTGGAGTTATTTGGTCTGCCACTTCTTTTGCCGGTTTTGTCTCTCTATTGAAAATTTGGGCAGTGAAAAAAGATATGCTTTGCATTTTCGTTACTGCTACCTCAAAAGGAGCAAGCGATTCCATTCTCATGTCCGTACTGATGCAAGTACTCTCGGAAACATCCATGCCCCGTTAGGAATTGCGTCATATAGAATTCAGTTTCTCCATGTTTTCTTTCCACCCATGCTTGCGCATTACCAATTAACCGGTGCGTCCATCTCCTCTTGACTGATGCGTCCCAGCGATTCTGCCATTCTTGTGTGCACTGACGGTTCTGAGGGCACTCAGCCGGCATAACGTTTCTGCCATTCTGGCGTATGTTTTTTGCATTAACGCTGGCCCCCATACAGGTACGGCATACATTATGATTGACTGGCTAACCTTAGCCAGGAGCGCTCTTCTGCTTTTTTTTGGTCCTCCAATGTTAGCCATTATTTTGTTTTAGGCCGCATTCACACGGGCGGCTTTTTCGCAGACTTTCTCGATATGGACTTTATAACTTAGTCTGGCGCCTATCATTACCCCCTGGCTAAATGAGCTATAAGCCTTCCTAGCAAACATCCCTGCACAAGCACCACACACCACTTCACAAGCAACACTGATACATTCCAACACACCACACAATACCATCCACTCCTGAAAACACCACACACCAATAATAACTTTACACAACTCACCGAGGGATACCAACACACACCACACCTTCAACACACCAGATCTCACCACTTAACCAACGAACAAAAGGATGGACGATTGGACACGGCCCTTTTTTTTCGATCGATCGCCGTCGTATACGCATCATCCGAATCCTGTTCTGCGCCACCGAAATATATCGTTTTTCACATCATTTTTAACAACCTTATAAATATTCAAAGAATAATAAAACTTCAAGTGGGAAAATCTCTTAATATTTGATATCAAATGCTTTGTTTTTAATCGGAAAAAAGTGAAAGTGATGAGTGTTTTGGTGCAATTTAGTAACGAGTAAATATGGGCCTTCGTAGTGGACGGCAATATGGGTGTTTAAAAAAAAAACCCTAAAGTGAAAGGCTGTGAAATGGCCAAAATAAGTGAAAACAGGAAAACAATAGAAGAAAGTGAGTTACCAAAACGGAAAAAAAATTACAGTAACGTAACAGTGTACGTGCAGTTACGAAAAAAAACGCTTTAGTTTAAAACAAAGTGCTGTTACAAAAGAAAAATACATACGTACATATATAAGTGCAAAATAAGTGCAGTGCAGAGCATATACACATATAACTAAAAGTGTTCAGTAAAACAAAACCAAAAAAGTGATGTTGCAATGTATAATTACTACATATGTACATAATTAAGCGCAAAATAAGTGCAGTGCATATACACACATAACTTAAAGGAATGAGGCTGAACAATATAAAAAAACTACAATAAATATTAAAAACACATAAAACAAGAAAATTAACAAAACAAATTTTTTCCCATATAAAAAGCGAAATTAATATTTAAATATAACGGACACCAAACTGTCTCAATTTACGGTTTAATTTACGGAAAGAGCCGAAAACAGTTTGGTACATATTATATATATATCTCTACATATATATACCTATACGGGTCTCGAAAATAGCCATATTACATAGGGTGATTTCCTTGTATGCTTACATTTGTGTATTAAAACACACTTTACGTTTCCAACAACACACCAAAATATTTCAAGTATTCACTTGCAAACTTTTCCAGCAATACCCCTTACGCTTAACAAAGCAATAAGCAGGATTGCGTCAAACCAAGTAAGCTAAGGCAAATTGAGAACTTAATAGAAAACATAAAAAAAAAAAAAACAGAAATTTACATACATACATATATGCATTTTAGATTACAAAAATATATACATACGTACATATTATTATATACCACATATTTATATGCACATATACATTTTTACATATATACTTAATCTAACAACAACCACATATACATATATATTTGAAAATACATTTTATATAATTGCCAAGAGCAATACATATATGTACATACATAAATTCAATTTTACCTTTTAACATACGTGTACAAGATCATAATTTGATACATATATACATAAGTGCATACAATGAAATATCGGCACATTACCAATTGCAATTTCTCGCTCTTCCCGCACAGCGTTCATACATATATACATACATTTTACGAGAATACCTGCGGTCAATTATTCTCCTTTTCGAGGTCTTTTCGCACTACGTACATATATACACGCGAATTTACATACATACCGGCACAGGTTTACAAACATACATACGTACTTCGCTTCAAAGTCCACATTGGCAAATATTCCGCAATACCCCTTGTTCTTTGTTAAACAAAAACAAGTAGGATTGCATATATACATATAACATTCTAAGTCCACATTGGCACATATTCGCAATACCCCTTGTTCTTTGACCAACAAAAACAAGCAGGATTGCGCAAAACATAATATAATACATACATACATATGTACAAAGCGCATTGATCTCTAAGACGAGCTCTCAATTGCGCATAACGACAAGTACATATGTATCAGCTGATCCGCTTATAGGTATACCCTATAGGAATTACGGACGAATAATACATACACATACAATTAGAAATAAAATCATTTGCATTTATTAATAATCAATTAAATAAATAAATAAAAAAATAAAATAAATAAATAAATAAATAAAAAAATATCGCGGGTGAATACGAACGGTACGAACTAAATACGCGAATTTTTGCAACTTAATCAAATTAAAAACTCTTACTATCTTAAGAGAGTTTAGTTATTCATACGAGTTAATACGAAGATTAAAAACGTCATTGATTCACTAGGTTTATTCATAAAAAAAAAAAATATATATATATAAACAAAAAAAAATCTTCTTTTCTTAAAAGATAGATAGAAGAATATGTTTATTACACTGAAAATATTTTAATTTATTTCGGCATACCTTTTTAAATGAGCTCAGACTCAAAAGAATCAAAAATATCTCAATTGTTAAAAGTACCAAAGATGATTTCAGATGATAAAAGTCCATGTACACCTGTAGAAGCTACACGCTCAAAGCAAGGTGCTACAAAGCAAAAGAGGGGTAAAGACATTTCTTACACTAAATTCATTGCTGAGAGTGACAGTCTAATACGATACTGCACTCGATTTTCATCTTCGCCGATTAAAGAAAATTCTGAATCGGTATTAGAAATTAAAAAAGACAATCTTGACAATTTTTGGAAACGTCTCCAAGCTGCATATGACGCAATTGTAGAATCTGACGACTCAGATCTACCAGAAAATTTCAAATCTTCGGCTTACGCCAAATACGAAAACTGCTTAGACCAGTTTGAAGAAACAAAAGCAATGATTTCAGATCAATTAAAATTAATTAAAGCCATAGCACCTGCTCCACATCCGAGAGTAGAGCTGCCACAAATTCAATGTCAAGAGTCAAATTCAGGCATCCATCTCAAGGAGCCCACATGTGATACAGAAATCTTTCATGGTGGTTATGAACAATGGCCGTCCTTCCGGGACATGTTTACAGCCGTTTACATAAACCACCCAAAATTAACAAATGCACAAAAATTGTATCCCCTCCGATACAAAACAAAAGGCCAAGCAGGCGTTAAGTAAAACAGTTCGCACTAAATGACGATAATTTCAATTTGGCTTGGGAAGCTCCTAAATCAAGATTCGAAAACGAAAGAATATTGGTCGATAAACAAATATCGATATAAATGAACTTGCCAAAAATTCAAAGGGAAACTAGTGGAGAGTTTATCAAACTTCAATCCACTGTTTCAAATTGTTTGTCGGTTTTATC